TGGAAAGTAGGGGTTCATTTACATATCCTTATGTTGCAGTTTGCATAATTACCATATATTACCTCTCTGTAATTGCGAGCTGGATTGCCTAAGGGGACGAGAAGCAGAGGGAAAGTAAGAAAAAGCAGTTCTATAGAGTTATATCAGACTTTATTGCTGCACTGATTCATTTAAAATAGCTGCAATATGTGTGCATTTTCTCTGCTATACTTTTGTAGGACAGGCTCCGGGGGGCCGCGCAACAAAGACGCGCTTTTAACTTATAATCAGAAAAACTACAATGCCTGAAAACCGACTGCCCGCTGTATTCCATTGTATTCGATTAAAAATGGCTAATAATGGTGCTTGGAAAAAGCAATTTTCCAAAAGGAAAGTTTCATTTGGAATTAGAAATTGAAATGTCAGCTTTTCCAGGTTTATTAGTTATGACTGGCTTCATTTTCTCATGCCTCTATAAACTCTGGAGCAATATTGAACTTTTTTATTGCGTGCCACTTCCCTTACGTTGCGAGCCTATGCAGCAAAACAGTGCAGAACTGTTTATGATTCTGGAGAACGTTATTGAAAACACTTCTTTTGACTTTTAACTGTTCTTTTCTCCCACTTTTAATTAAGAGACACTTTAAAACGCTCATTAGAGGTGGATGATTGGAAATGTACGAGCATCTGAGGAGCAAGTGAATGCAGCATTACTGCCATTAGCACAGAACAGCATCTTCATGCTGGTGGGAGATTTTTTGCAGAACATTCAGCTGCTATATATAGAAAGAAATAAGCGCACTCCAGTTCCCTGAAGCCTGCTGTGGAACAGCGTGTGAGTGCAACCTGGATTAAGCAGGTGTGTGTATTTATGATGGCACTCAGAATAATGAGAGAGGGGAAGGAAAGAAGCTGCTTAACTGCAACAGGGGTGAGGTGAGGATATTCTGGCATCTTCTTGAAAATTAGATCTGGATGATGTTGAGAAATGCCAGTGTTTTGCAGGTTACTTCAAAAATTGACTATTAACACAGTGTCACTGATGCCCCCTTGTGGAGAATCGTCACCTCACTAAATAGAGATGGGCGAAAGGGCAAAAATATAATATTGTAATACTTTAAGATATTTTCACAGTACACAATATATCACAATATTTATTCTGATCAGCTGGAACAGAGAAAAAAGAAGCAGTAGTGCTACATAAAAAAAAACAGACGCAGCAGTGCTGCTGGAGTTTTTAAACACCTCAGTGTCACTGCTGGACTGAGAATAGTCCACCAAACAAAAACATCCAGCCAACAGCGTCCTGTGACCACTGATGAAGGACTAGAGGATGACCAACACAAACTGTGCGGCAGCAGATGAGCTGTCGTCTCTGACTTAACATCTACAAGGTGGACTGACAAGGTAGGAGTGTCTAATAGAGTGGACAGTGAGTGGACACAGTGTTCCAGCAACTCCAGCAGCACTGCTGTGTCTGATCAACTCGTACCAGCACAACACACACTAACACACCACCACCACGTCAGTGTTACTGCAGTGCTGAGAATGATCCACCACCCAAATAGTACCTGCTCTGTGAGGGTCCATGGGGGTCCTGACCACTGAAGAACAGGGTAAAAAGGGGCTAACAAAGTATGCAGAGAAACAGATGGACTACAGTCTGTAACTGTAGAACTACAAAGTGCACCTATATAGTAAGTGGAGCTGATAAAATGGACACTGAGCGTAGAAACAATTAGGTCATAATGTTATTTTACCATAATAATGATATATACTGTCATATTGGCCAGCCCTACTGCTAAACGCGAGTTCCTGTTACTCTTGGATGTACGTATTGTTTTATTTTGCATGCACATTGTGTAAAAATAGCTGTATGTTGGTGAACCCCTGGCCATAAATACCTATTTTGTATATTACCAAAGTTAAATCAAGTAAACACAATCTCTGCAGCAAACTATTTAAAAAAAATAACATTTTTTCTGCAAATGTAAATACACAGTTACTTTACATTCAATTTCTACAAAAAATAGAAAGGCATTAATTGACTCGTTAAGCAAGTCAAAACAAACTGTCACTGGGATTTGTCAGCTGATGACAGTTCCAGCACGTCATCAATTGTCTGACTCTTCTAACCTTGTGCTGACACTCAACAACCATGGGCTCCTCTAAGCAGCTAACTGAAGCCTACAATGCAAGGAAAGGCAATAAAAAGATATGAAACGCTTCCAGCTTACAATTTCCTTTGAAATGGCAGAAATAGCATTTAAGGGGAACTAAGACAGAACTGCTCATACGCTTGACAGAAATGCTAAGCAAAACCCCCATATGACAGCAAAAGTCCTGCAAGCATAGAATGGCTCCTGGTTGGCTATAAAAGTATTGATATCTTCCAAAAGGGGTGTTATTAAGTACTGACTAAGCAGGGTGCCCAAATCATGCCATATGTACTTTTTTGTACTATTTTTATTATATTTTTATTTTATTATATATTTCATTATATTAATAAAATATAAAGTAACAGTACATGTGTAATGTAATTATAATGTACTACATATATGAGTTGTAATACATTGTAAACAATTTGCTGTTTACTTCTTTGAACTTCAAAAAATACACAACATATTATATATATATATATATATATATATTGCCCAGGGGTGTCCAAGCATTTGCATACAACTGTACATCTATAATGGACATTGAGGGTATGTTGTTGCTGATTTAATGCAAGTATAAACAGATGACAAACAAAGAGGAATACAGTGAGTCAAAAACATGCAGCCACACATTCATCAACACACTGAAAAACACTTCTAAGAACAGCATCTAAAACTGTCCGGCCTTGTTCCTACACACCAACTAGAACATGCATTATGAAATAGAAATGAAAAGAAACGCACATCTGTGTTATGTTGTGTAAATACAGTATGAACAAAACACACTGTCACTGATCAGAGCCCTTATAAACTCAAATCTAGCTCAATAACACTCCCTAGAGGACATGTAATGTCAGTGCAGTGCTTAAAACAAGGCAGAAGTTCTGTTTCAGAGACCTGCTGTTTTCAAATACAGCTGCACTGGGACACCGTTTAGAGGTTTGACCATAGTTGCGTTACACTGTACGTCCAAAAGCGTCTAATTAGAAGATTCAGCTACTTTAAGATGCGCCGTTGATGACACTGGCAGAATTACATGATAATAAATATAGCAAATCGATGATAAGCAGCACTGAAAATTGATTATTCATGCCTTGAGGTCAGTGGGTGTTCTACAAACAATGGTCTGGGTCTGTGAATCTTATGAGAAGGTTTAGTTGTTCTGGTTTTAGATTGTTCCTTGCTTTCTTTTATTGTTTGAACACAAGTCATACATTCAGATTTCCACATATCACTCGTTTTATTCAATGCAACAGCCCTAGTGCTACAAAAGTTACCTTGTTTAAACTGTGATTATGGATTTATGAAGCATAAAAACTGTCATCTGATTGGCGAGAGACATTTTTGCCTCTTGGTCCTTTTTAATGAAAACAATCATTCCTGCCGTTTCCTGTGCAGGAGCTCTGGGGATTTACGAGCTCGTAAAGGAGTGAACGGGAGTTTCTTTAAGTGTGATAATTCAAAACGGTGCGGAGAGCGAATGCATTATAATAATGATTTAGCGCTGACGAGAACACGGCTGACTCACTCTGTGTCCTTGCCTTACCTAGTTTGGTTTTAATCACTTGTAGAACACGCCGAAATCAGCTGCTGTAGTCTGTCATGACAGCAATGACTGGAGGAAAGTATGTATTTATAGAGTTTAGGGATGGAAAGTGAGGTTAAAGTGAAAGTTGGGCCAGAAATAAATTTACAGATTTTTCCTCACCCCAAATGTGGTCAATTGTTTGGAAAATGTTTGGAGTTTGCTTCTGTAAGTTTGCACTGAAGCTAAATGGCTAATGTTGCAAAGTAATAGAAACCTATTTACATCAGTTAGCATTGTGCTGAGTGGCATAGCTAAAAACAGTAAAACTAGCCATCTTCAAGCCTGAATTTTGGGTGAGGGTTAAGCTTGTTAGCTACATTAGCCTGATATCTGCACTGGCAAAAATCACTAGGGAGGCCTCATAATTTCTGGATGTTGATCATTTTTGCTTATTGTTTTAATGGACTCTCATGTATGTTGCATTTACATTTTGCAACTATTGTAGTAATACTTTTAATTGATTGTTGAGTTTTGGTTGGAAACAAAAGGGTTAAATTCCTGGAATGACAAATGGAAAACTGTTCAATCAGAAATGTTTTCTCTGTGGTATCTCGCTCTGCCATTGGTTAGGACTTCAGGAGCTGCACTGAAGGCCTTTAGATTAACTACCAACTTAATTAGGCACTGGCAGTGAAATGAATTACAATGGGACCAATTTTAATGAGAAAAAAGTCACTCTATGCCTTCTGAAAGTTCTAGGCACAATCTAGATACTGTGAATGTGAACTGTAGTCTAAGTAGGTTTGGGTCAGCTGTTAAGCATGGAAAACAGTGGCGGCAGCTCAATGCCAGGACTCTTTGCTGAATAAGTCACTTGAAAGCTGATACATACAAGCTCAAATGTGTGTTAAAGTTCAAGTACAAGTTTTAAATAAAACACACAGAATGTCCATTGTTAATCTAGAATGGCCAAAAAATGTTAATGTACACCAGCATTAGCTTAGTGCTAACATACTACTAGAAATCCCTTAGGGGCGCCAACGGAAAGGTGTGTTTTTTTCTGTTTCTTTAACCAAGTTTGACATTTATGGCCTGCACTAAAGGCCTTCATCTAACAATCATGGTTTCCAGTGGTAAAAATGAAGAAGCACTTCAGACGCCAAATCGACTAACAAGAAAATGGTGTAAATTAGATTTTTCACTAAACTGTCACTGTAAGTGCTTATTTCAGCAACAGCCTAAGCCTATACAGCCTGACTGCGCAAGGAGGGGGTGTGAAGGCGGACAGGGTTTTGTCAGAGATGGATATCGTGGCACAGAGGTTACAAATTCAATCAGCGTTCAGACAGCGGCTCTATCAGGACGCTGGTGTGAAAATATGGCCGGACCTCGCGGAGGGGCGACACATACTGCTGGCACCACAGAAAGAGGGGGCATTAGAAATTCAAACAGGGCTGTCATGCCAGAGAGACGTGAAAGACTGATGACTGAAAAAGGAAAGGAAGTGGGAGAGGAGCGCAGGATGGAGGAAAGGGAAGATGGAGGGAAACTGGGAGGATGCTGTCGATATACAAAACGTCATTCACTAGATGAGGTCAGAAAGACAGCGTGAGGCCTGGCCCTAATGTATGTGTAGTTAGATGGATCACGAACACCTGAATGTATATCTCATACACTATATCTCCAAAAGTATCCAGACAATCCTTCTAATGAGCGATTTGAGATACTTTAAGATGCTGACACAGGCATTCAACTTGTATAATCTCCTTAGAAAAGCACTGACTGATAGAATGAGATGTTCTGGAGCAGCTTAAGGTCGCCTAAGGTCACCTAAGGTCACCATGCCCAATGCCAAGCGTGGGCTGAAGGGGCATAAAGCCAGTGGCAAACAATGACTGTAAGAGCTAGGCCTTCAATTTGGGCCATAAATGTATAAACTCGGCCAAAACGTGGGAAAAAACCCAGCTCAGTAACAATGCTAACTTCTGCTAGCGTCCCTATAGGATTCTAGAAGTTTGTTAGCACAAAGCTAACGGCAGTTTCCAACGAGGCTTAAGTTCTTCTTATTCAACTTTGCTCTGCCTTAAAATTATTGTGCCTTACTAAAATTTTCAGTTTTTTGGTTTCAATCTTTATCACATGCAGGCATCTGTGAGCTTAACCAAGTGTTTATCTTGGAAATTCTCCTGTCTTTGACAATGTCCTTCTGTCTCTGTCTCCTCTCTTAAAAATGGACAGTGAGCAGCCTTTTGTCACCGAGCTCAGCAATGCTGAGAGTCCACAGAGTTGTGTGCACAGTCCCCTTTCTCACTGTGAGCAACCTTTTCCTCCACACATACACAAATGTCATTCGGATAACCACCACTGCTACTGTATACTGACATATACATCACAGAGTCATATTACACTTTAACACAGATAGGAACGGCCAGCAAACACTATACAAAAGCACAGTGTAGAGCAGCACATCCTAAACTGTAGGGATGAAAGAAAAAATCAGTACAGTGCAATATTTTGGTTTTAAATTGTTCATTATTGTTCCATTGTTATTATTTTTAATGTGAATTTAGCCCATATTTATACTTAGGCCGCCAGTATACAACAAACAAAACGCCATTTCAGAGCAAAACAATTTTTCATGCATCATTTATTCTGAGACCTCCCCCTGACTGTGATCTTAATCTCCGCATTATTCATTCTCACATTGCCCTCTGACTGTGGTCCATCATCATGTCATTCATTCTGAGACCTCCCCCCCAACTATGATTGGTTCTATTTACTGCATTGTTTGTTCCAAGACCCCCATGTTACGAATGTCACGGGCGAAGCGGAGGAAACGGACTCGATCTCCCAGAATCCTCTGGGAGATCACATGACTGTGACGCTTCCTACAAACCACAGTACACACACGGACTCCATCCCCCAGAATACACAGGGAGATCAGCTGACTGCTGATCTCCCCACACGCTCCTATCAGCGTTCTCGATCGCCTGAATACTGATGTGTTTCACCTGTGTATTGATCATGTGACTTCTTTAGTTAGCTTTAAAGACCGGTCTTTAGCGCGTGTTCTTTGCGAGGTATTGTTTCTTTGGTAAACTACTGAGCGTTATATCTATGATCTGGATTTTGTGTATGACCTGTAGCACCCGTTCTTTTCGACTCTGTTTTTGGATTTGCCCTTTTGGATTGTTTGCCCCGGATATTTGTTCTCTGTGTTTTGACCTTTTCGCCTGTTTTTTGACAACGATCTTGGACTCTGACTTCAACATTAAAGCTTACTTCTCGTTCTTAATCCACAAGCGTCTGAATTCTGTGAAACCGTTACACCCCATGTGACTGTGACTGGTTTTAATCACCATGTTGTTCATTCTAAGACCCCCATCAGACTGTGATTTGTTCTAATCACCATGTTGTTTGTTCTAAGACCCCTGTCTGACTATGATTGGTTATAATCACCATGTTGTGTGTTCTTGGACCCCTGACTGACTGTGATTGGTTCTAATCACCATGTTGTTTGTTCTAAGACCCCTGTCTGACTGTGAATGGTTCTAATCAGCATGTTGTTTGTTCTATGACCCCTGTCTGACTGTGATTGGTTCTAATCACCATGTTGTTTGTTCTAAGACCCCTGTCTGACTGTGATTGGTTCTAATCACCATGTTGTTTGTTCTAAGACCCCTGTCTGACTGTGATTGGTTCTAATCTTTGTATTGTTTGTTCTGAGACCTCCCCCTGACTGTGATTGGTCCTAATCATTGTATTGTTTATTCTGAGACCTCCCCCTGACTGTGATTGGTTCTAATCACTGTATTGTTTGTTCTGAGATCTCCCTCTGACTGTTATCGGTCCTAATCACCACATGTTTCTTCTAAGACCTCTTCATTACTGTTATTGGTTCTTCCTTTAAGAGACTGAAGTGAGATGAACAAATGTAACTGATCTGAACAAAGAGTGACCTTTAAGGAAATAATTTTTTGAAGCAACAAAATGCAACAGTATATTGCAATATGCCATATTGTAATATTCAGCATATCACAAATGTTTAAATATTGCAGGAGAACCAGATTGTGGCTCAAGTATCTTCACAATATCATACCTTGAGACCTGTATCGATTCACACACCTGATAAGTTCACACCAAAAACAGTGAGCAAGCACATGTAGATAACACACAGAAACACACACTGGCAAGAAAAATCCACTGTTTGGTTAGTCAAAATGGACGCAGACGTTGAGTGAGGTATGAAAGGTTTCATTCTCACACAGCACCTGGTTATTATTTATTTACTAATTACTGACAAAAATCATTTTTATATATTTTCATGGTATTTACGTGCCATCAGCGGCCTTTGTCGGGAGAGGCGAAATGACATTCAACGCTTCAAATACTAATCAATTCACTTGTTACTATTTGATTACAGAAAAGAATTTAAAACGCCTTTCCTTAACATTAACACGCACAAATCAGCCTCTTCAGCAGCTACAAAGGACCTTGATAGATCTCTATTGAAGTTAAGTGGACGTTACCACTTCAAATGGTCTTTGCGCAGCCTTAATTCACTCTGCTCATAAAACACAGGTACCTTACAGCGGCTCCAGTACTTCAGAGGTGCTGAGCCAGTAATGTAGCAATAAGAAGGAGCTTAGAAGGAAATTGCATTCACATAAAGCCATTTCACACAGTCTATAAGCAGACTATCAGGGGTATCACGCTTTTCTGCATCTCGGTGCCTCAGTGATAACAAAACACACTTCTTTACACTTCTGAGAGCAGCACAGACTGTTCTGTTCCTAAAAAAGCACTGAAGTGTGCTAAACACCTTGGGCTTATGACAGTAAAATGAAGCTATAACAAAGTTAAGACTTCAGTATAGGAGGACATTCTCATTAAAGGGGAAATTTTCAGTTCTAGAGAGACGTACTGAGTCAGAACTGTTCATAGTGGTGGTGATAGGAACCAGACGTCCACCAAATGGTTTGAATATGCTGCCTGATGCCCGAGACATTGTTTTAAAAGTAGTAGAATGGTGATGCACATGCAGGGGGTTGTAAGGCAAGATATTTCCCAAAGAACTTACTTTGCCATCATCAACATTCCATATAAAAGCTCAGAAGACTCATGTAGGTTCACTGGTGGTTTTGGATAGTAAATAAAATGTCTATAATTGTGTTGTAGTCATGGCGACTCCTGGTTCCTATCACCACCACTGTAAAGACATCTGAGTTTCTACAATCAACCATTTCACACCAAACCACTCTGAATCACTCTGTTGACATCAGGTATACAGAAATTTTCAAATTCCCTACTAAGGCTTATCCCAGGTGACCCTGTCCTCCGCAACTTCCTCCAGCTTCCTCCCAGGCCAACTTGGAGATACAATCCCTCCAGCCGGTCCTAGCCCCGGGACACCCGGGATCTCCTCCCAGTAGGCCGTGCCTGGCAAACCTCCACCAGGAGGCATCCAGGGGGCATCCTGATCAAATACCTGAACCACCTCAACCGGCTCCTCTCAATGTGGAGGAGTAGCGGCTCTACTCCGAGCTCCTCCGGGATGAATGAGCTCCTCACCCTGCCAGCAGAGTGTCGCCCGCCACTCTGCGAAGAAAGCTCATTTCCGCTGCTTGTATCCGCGATCTTATTCTTTCGGTCATTACCCACAGCTCATGACCACAGGTGAGGGTTGAGATGTAGACCAACTGGTGAACAGAGAGCTTTGCCTTATAGCTCAGCTCCCTCTTCACCACTACAGTCCAGTGACCACATCACCGCTGCTGCCTGTCCCGGCCTGCAGCCGATCTCACGATCCCTCTTCTCATCACTCGTGAACAAGACCCTGAGATACTAAAACTCCTCCACCTGGGGCAGATCTGTTCCCCCTTACGTGGAGTAGGCATGCCATCCTTTTCCGGGCTAGGACCATGGACTCACTGCTTCTAGTTAGCAGATACTTCTTAGCATCTGCTAACTAGAAATCTTAACTTATAGGGGGTAATAATGGGGGGGTCAGTTTGTCTTTATGCAGAACTAATTCTATTGACAGAGATTTGAATCAAAAGAAAACAAGCACTTTATAGAACCAGTGCTCAAGTAAGTTGTGCACATGATTATGACTTACAAAATATTTAATTCATGCTAGTTATTTCTTAATAAAGCAGTAATGAGCAGCTTCTGGCTTGATAAGGGTTAATAACAGCATCACAGTGAATGCCTCAAATGTTGTGCAAAAAATTACAATGTAGTAATGATCTGTGAAATGCTTAATTTGGCTCCTTTATTGCTTGGTAAAGTAGTAATAGCTGAACAAAGTGTAATAAAGGGCTTTATAACGTCGCACCTGTAATGAAGAGCTTTTAAACCATTTGACACACTGCAAAAAATGATATCTTAGCAAGTGAAAACATCTTAAATGTAATTAATAAATCTAATATTTCTCATTATGAGACAGATGTAAGAACATTATAAGACTATTCAATCTGTTTCTGTACATTTACATAGAGTTTTATTCCATTGGCAGATCATATTACTTGTTTCAAGAAATAACAAAGGCAATTTTGCTTATTTCCAGAAATAATGCTCAAAACAAATAAAGTGATCTGCCAATGGAATAAGACACTTTCATATCATAAAATTACTTAAAACAAACAGAAATGTCCACAAATAAGTTGATAAGTTAATTCTCATAATGAGAAATATTAGATATATTGAGTGCATTTAAGATGATTTCACCTGCTATCATTTTTTTGCAGTGCCAAAGTATTAATTGGATGGAGTTAGTTTACAGTGGGTGTGGTAATGTAATTATTTTCTAAGTATCTCTGCAATTTTAGTCCCATCTGAATGCATCATGTTATTTTTAAATGGACAGTGCATTCTTGCATCTATAAATATTACAGTAGCTACTAAATGAACAGTAGAAACAATCTCAGGTTATATCAATCCCATGTGAACCGACATGTTCTGTTGTATCATGCCGGAATGTCAGATTTACTAAAAGAGGCACTAATTCCCTAATCATCTACAGACAGTTTGTGCTGGTATGGGTGGTAAATTTAGCAGCCTACCTACTAAACCCTTATGCAAATGAACACAGATGCAATCAACATAAAGTCCATCACAATGTAAACTCCTGTTTTACTCATGTGCTTTAAATACGTAAGCTTCTTTCTGCAATGTAGGAGGGAAAAAAATGGGTTATCTCAAAGGTTTTTTTTTTCCCCGTCTGTTTCTGACAGCAGTATGTCTATATTTTGACTCATGATGTCAAAAGTTTGACCTTTCGTCTCAAAATAAAGACTTGTTTTTATGATCTTTTGACTCAGTAGGCTGAAATAATAACTTATTATGTCAAAATAACTACTCCCTTTCTCGAGTTTGACTATGTGTGCCAAAATAATGAGTTTTTACTATTATTTTACTGTTATTTTATTTTATTTTATTAAAACAAGTCATAATTTTCACATTCTAAGTCAAAACGCCAAGAAAATAAGCAATTATTTTATCATAATAATTAAAAATGTAGACAGGCCAAATGTAAGGTGTCTTTGAACAACCACAGCATCACACATGTTAGTGCATAGAAATCAGTAAGCTGTTCACAGGTGGTAAATAGGCCTAATGACCAGGTCACTTTTTACTATCAGCCATTATTTGAGAGGGAAACTCCTATAAATGCATATGAATGTGGCAAAAGCGCAAAATAGGCCTGAGGCCTAAGTACTGGCTTAAATTGTGCCACGGCCAAAGGAGGATTTGTCAGAGGAATGGCAAGCATTAGATTCCTTTGCAAAAGCAGAACACATTTTATATTCTTGTGTTCAGAGAATTTATTTAGTTTCTTATTTGTGTGCTGCAGCAATCAGGTTCACCTGCCACTCACCAAAACACATTCAGAAGAAATATGTTCAAATACATGCAGAAGAAGAGCATCACCAAACCACAGAGTAGTAAATTCAGAAGTAGCACTTTGAATGTCAAACTCCCTGATCAGCGAGCGAAGCTGATGCCCTCAGATGAACTGCATAATGCAACTGGAAGCCACTTTTACTGTGATATTTAGCCAAAGGCAAAGCAGATTAAACGCATATCTTTGCATTTCATCACACAAAAGCTTTAGATTTAAGATGGCACCATTTTTAGTTAAGGCAACCAGATTCCACATCTCCTAATTCTCCAAGAGAGTATTAAAATTCATAATCCGTATAATCCAATCTTTCATACAAGGCATGTTAATCTTTTAATACAAATCGAGACCAAGCCAAAGCATCAGAGTTATTAACACCATTACTGCACAGAGAACATGGAAAACAACATTAAAGCCAACAGCTTTTTCACACTTTATAATAAAACAAACGCCAATCATTAATCTGAAATAAGAGCACCAATCACAGCCAGCTCACAGCGTGTTCCACCAAGGCCAGGGAAGACTGCGATAAAAAAGGGGCGGAACTTACAGGGGTGCTGCCATCCGATAGGGTGGTCATGCTGATTGAAGTGCTCATCTTGTCGGAGGAGGAGAGGGAGGGAGGGGAGGGGCTGCGCTTCTCAAGGATGTCCTGTCTCTGCAGGAAGTCTCTCCAGGCACGCTGGATGCTGTCAATCAATAAATAATGCACAATAATAATTTCATACAAAGCTAAGGTGCCTTTCAGTTCCACAGCAGACTGGAAAATTCCTCTGGGATTAATGAAGCTTTTATATATTTGTAGTTGTATAGCTATACAGTGAACCTATAGGGTGGGTGTTTCTAATAAAGTGGCCAGTAAGTGGACGTATAAGGCTGGCGTTTCTAATAAAGTGGCCAGCGAGTGGACATACCAGGTAGGTGCTTCTAATAAAGCGGCCAGTGAGTGGAGAGTCAAGGCTGGTGTTTCTAAAAAGGTGGCCAGTGAATGGAAGTACAAGGCTGATGTTTCTAATAAAGTGGCCAGTGAGCAGATACACAAGGTAGGTGTTTCTTATAAAGTGGCCAAATAGTAGACAGACAAGGCTTGCGTTTCTAATAAAGTGGCAGTGAGTGGACATAAAATGCTCATGTTTCTAATCAAATGGACAGTGAGCAGAAGTACAAGGTTGGTGTTTCCAATAAAGTGGCCGATGAGTGGACATACAACACTGGTGTTTCTAATAAAGAGGCCAGTGAGTGTGTACTGTGTAAATGTTGAGTTCCATCTGCTCTCTTTTATCCTCTGTTTAATTTTCTCCTCTCTCATTATTAAAGATATACTCATGTCTAGTCACTGATTAATAAAGAAGAGCCCCCCAAACTCTCTTTTTCTGCTTAAATCCTCTCTCTCTCTCAATCTCTCTCTCTCTCTCTCTCTCTCTCTCTCTGCATGGACAAAGCTTACAGTCCCATCTGGCTCATGCAGCGGCTTGCTGTCTTTTACAGCTATTTGCCAAAGTGTAATTGATGTTCCAATTAAATTATTTCCAAAGGGCAACATTATTGCTCCCCCGTGTCTCATATATACAGCAAAACACACACTCGCTATACACAGCTCAGTACAAACGTGCCACACACACATATATACACCTACAGTACATTCACACATCTATATAAACAAGCTACCAATGTAAAAAGCTTCAAGGTGACGATTCAACTACACTGATATAAATATAAACTGGGGTTATTTCTATGGTTTGTTTTTGTAGCACAGGATTAATATAATTTGGAATTATTTCTAGGGTTTGTTTTATAGGACTGGATTAATATAACCTTATTATAGGTTATTTCAAGGATTTTTATAGCATAGAACTAATATAATCTGGGGTTATTTCAAGGGTTTGTTTTATAGCACAGGATTAAAATAATCTTGGGTTATTTTTGTGATTTGTTTTATAGCACAGGATTAATATAATATGGGGTTATTTCTAGGGTTTGTTTTTATTACACAGGATTAATATAATCTAGGGTTATTTCTAGGGCTTGTTTAATAGTACAGGAGTAAAATAATCTGGCTTTTTCTCTATGGTTTGCTTTATGAATAGGATTAATATAAAATAGGATTATTTAGCCTTTGTTTTATAGCACAGGATTAATGTAATCTGGGGTTATTTATAGAGTTTGTTTTATAGCACAAGATTAAAAGAATCTGGGGTTATTTCTAGGGTTTGTTTCTGTAACACAGAATTATTATAATGTGGGATTATTTCACTCTCATTTACACTAAAGTTAGTAAACGCACCAGAGAGGTTATCATAATTGAATCAAGTCATTGTTAGTTTGTAATTTGTGCACATACGTTCACGTTATGGTAAGCAGTAAAATATATGCTACTCACATCAACACGTTGGACTCCAGCGGTTTCATGTTGACAGCAATATTGTTCTCCAGGTCAGTGGTCAGTTGATTACTGTGAGAAAGAACAGACCATCAAGCAATCAAAAATTCATATTTATACAGTTTCTTTAAAAGAGAGGCAGAGCTAAGCTACACCAGCCGCCTCTGCTGGATCATATCTTCAGCGCTTATTGATTGTGTAGCATTAGAATATGGTTTATATGTGTTTTCAGTGATTTGCCGTTTGCCTGCAGTTTTATAGTGTTTACATGACAAATACATGCTCTGCACATACGTTAGATGATTTCCCAATAGTCAGACAAAAACAAGCGAACCATATCACACACACACACACACACACACACACACAGGTGGGGTCTCCAAAAAGCTCCATAATCAATATGATCAGCTGCTCACGAGTACAAACATTTAATTTAGATATAGTTTTATTTACTCTAACCTGTCTAATGCAAATGTCATGTATTGTTAACATTGTCTTTTGGTTGGAAATATATGGCCAATACTAAAAAAACAAACACAAGTAAATACTTCTGTGAGTGTCTCCATTAAAAGAACACAAAAACAAAGGATTAATATGATCTATTAATTATTTTATCTATTAATTGTTTAATCCTTCTATAGTTTGTTTTTGTAGCACAGCTTTAATATAACCTGGGGTTATTTATGTGGTTTGTTTTATAGCATAGGTTTAAAGTAATCTGGTGTTTTTCAAGGGTTTATTTTAAATCAATAATGTAATCTGGGGTTATTTCTGCAGTTTGTGTTTTAAGCACAGGCTTATTATAATCTGGGGTTATTTCTAGGGATGTTTTATGTTCTATGTTGTTTTATAGCACTGGATTAATCTAATCTGGGGTTATTTCTGAAGTTTGTTTTATAGCACAGTATTAAAATAATCTGGGGTTATATCTATGGTTTGTTTTTAAGATGGGGTTAGTTCTAGGATTTATTTTATAGCACAGGATTAAGATAATCTGGGGTTATTTCTAGGGTTTATTTTATAGCAAAAGATTCAAATAATCTGGGGTTATTTTTCTATGGTTTGTTCTTGCAACACAGTATTAAAATAACCTGGGGATTTTCTACGGTTTGTTTTATAGCACAGGATAAATATAATCTGGCATTATTTCTGTGGTTTGTGTTTTTAGAACAGGTTTAATACAATGTGGGATTATTTCTAGGGTTTGTTTTATACCACAGCATTAATATAATCTGGGTTATTTCTGCAGTTTGTGTTTCATTGCACAGGATTAATATAATCTGGTGTTATTTCTGTGGTTTGTTTCATAGTACAGAATTAATATAACCTGGAGATATTTTTACAGTAAATTTAGATACAGTAGCACAGGATTAATAAATTAAATTAACAAATTAAGGTAATAAATCCTAGAACTATTTCTATGATATTCCTTAAAGTACAGGATTAATAAAGCCCGAGATTATTCCTTTTTTCATTTTACACCATGAGATTAATATAATTTAGGGTTATTCCTACAGATAATTAGATTAGTACAACCTTGGATTATTTCTATAGTTCATTTTATTGCGTGGGATTAATATGACCCTGGGTAGTTTAATAGCAACATAATCTGGGATTATGTCTGAAGTTAGTTTTATAGCAGGTTAAAGATGCCAGAGTCTTCACTGGTGTGGAAGTGTGTAGTCTGTGAAAATTACTGACTGAAATCACTGTGAAATAATAATTATATCTCCACATCGACCCCTGTAAAACTAATCCCAATAGAATGTACACCTCATTATATTACTGCTCACAGTAATCTCAGTGGTCAGTGTCTGTGTGTCCGTGTGTCTGTGTGTGTCATCAGTAATTAAACAGCAGCTCCAGTCTGAGCCGCAGGGGAGCGCAGCCTCCGTACAGTGACAGCAGGTGAATTTCATTTTCAACACTGCTCAAGGACACGGAAAATGAGTGTGTACCAGTATGTGTGTGCGTGTGTGTGTGTATGTGTGTGTGTGAAAGGGAGAGAGAGACATCTGTCCATCTGTATGTAAGTGTGTGTTGTAACTCACTTTTGCAGCTGGTATCCTCCAACATTTACATACTTCATACTCTGCAGTGTTTTAAGCTCCTCCTGAGAGAGAGAGCGAGAGAGAGAGAGAGAGAGAGAGAGAGAGAGAGAGAATATGTTTAGTTTTATTCAGTTTACATTACATAATTATTTAAATATGATGATCATAATAGGGTAAATAGTGCATTTTTTGTGTCCAAGTTCATTATATTCCTAATAAATAATTCACATAAACATGTTTTGCATTATTCTACATTCCTTTATGTCAAAACATTTTCAATTTATTTTAGGGAATTATGCCTTCCAAAGTCCAACCATACATGACGATTAAAGAGGAATTCCACCAATTTTTAAAAAAATTCTGCAGAATTTTGTCACTGAGACTAAAAAAATTTCACTGATTACTGAGAAACAAATTGTTTACAGCGATGTTGGTGGCATGATTTTATGTTTGAAACCATTAAAATAACATTCTGTAAAAAAAGGCAGCTTTACAACTAATTGAAACAAATGCATTAATTAACTAATTGATAAACTTGTTCATATATGTTGATTTTCTGAAAAGTCATGCAGCACAACCAACAAGGAAGAACTTTTATTTTGACATGCTTTATGGGCAGGTTATTGTTCCATAAGGTACTGTGGTGCTTGAAAGTTTGTGAACCCTTTAGAATTTTCTAGATATCTGCATAAATTTGACTTAAAATGTCATCAGATTTTCACACAAGTCCTAACAGTAGAAGAGAACCAAATTAAACTAATGAGACAAAAATATTAGACTTGGTCATTTATTAATGAAGGAAAAATGATCCAGTATTACAGATCAGTGAGGGGCAAAAGCACATGAACCTTTAGGATTAGCCTACAATTTGAAGGTGAAATTGGAGTCAGGTGTTCTCAATCAATGGGATGGCAATCAGGTGTGAGTGACCACCCTGTTTTATTTAGAGAACAGGGATCTATCAGTCTGATCTTCACAACACATGTTTGTGGAAGTGAATTGTGGCACAAACAAACGAGATTTCTGAGGAGTTGTGAAACACGATGGTGGTAGTATCACGGTTTGGGCCTGTTTTGCTGCATCTGGGCCTGTTTTGCTGCATCTGGGCAGGACGGCCTTCCATCACTGATGGAACAATGAACTCTGAATTATACCGGCAAATTCTGAAGGAACATGACAGGACATCTGTCGGTGAGCTGAACCTCAAGAGAACGTGGGTCATGCAGCAAGACAACGACCCTAAGCACACAAGAACGGTTAAAGAGGAATAAAGTTAATGTTTTGGACTGGCCAAGTCACAGTCCTGACCTTAGTCCTATAGAAATGTTGTGGAAGGACCTGAAACAGCAGTTCATGTGAGGAAACCCACCAACATAACAGAGCTGAAGCTGTTTTTCATGGAGGAATGAGCTAAAACTCCACAAAGCCGATATGCAGGACTAATCAACAGTTACCTCAAACGTTTAGTTGCAGTTATTGCTGCACAAGAGGGTCTCACCAGATACTGAAAGCAAAGGTTCACATACTCACAGATATGTGATACTGGATTATTCTCCTCAATAACTAAATAACCAAGTCTAATATTTTTGTTCATTTGTTTAACTTGGTTCTCTTTATCTACTATTAGGACTTGTGTAAAAATCTGACGAAGTTTTAGGTCAAACTTATGCAGGAATATAGAAAATTCTAAAGGGTTCACAAACTTTTAAGCACCATCCCAAGTCCCAATTGATTTGCCATTTTATAAAAAGAAAGTATTGATTCTTTTCCATTCTTTCATGCATAATAATATGATTAAGGTTAGGACCCCCAAGTAGGATGTTACTTAAGACCCCCCACATGTTCAGAATTACACAGTGAGTTACATTTATGTTCAATGTACATCAAGCCTGCACTTCCAAAATTCTTCGCAACAGACCCATTTACTTTGTTTCGGTGTCAAAAATTGACAAAAACATACAAAATGTAAGGTTTGGGTTTTATTTCCACAAAACAAGACTGTAAACATAACAACAACTTCAACAAATTCAAATCATTATAAAATATCTCCTCGTCTGCTTTCAAACGTGGTCCGGACTGAAAGTTTAGGATCTGCACTTTCCACATTATTTCCCCACTTGTGTCAATGAGCTACAAGTGAGAAATCATTAAAGAGAATGTTAGAGGAGGCGTTCTGAGGCGTGTAAGTCATGGAGAACCCAGGAGGGTTAAAGCAAACCCCTCTGTAACCAGAACAGCTGTGGGCTCCGTATCAGCGAGCCGGTGGGCAGAGAGAGAGGTTCGTGAGAGAGAGAAACCCCCCCAGCTCAGCTGCAGAGTGTGCATGTGTGAAGCGGTCCTGAGGGGGAGGCGTTCTCGTGCCGTTCTCGTTTGAAGTTCCCCCTCAACTCTCAGTTCCCCCTCAACTCTCAGTTCTACAAGTTTAGTACTAAACACATGAGTCAGCACTTTAACCTACTTTCATCCAGAGAGAGAGCGAGAGAGAGGGAGGGAGAGAGGGAGGGAGGGAAAGTGAGGGAAGGTCAAGGGGAGGTCAGCGTGCTCTGCAAACAGCACTGTGCACTGCCAGCCAAAAGTTTAAAGGAGAATTCCACCCATTTTTCAAAATTTCTGCTTAATAAATGGTTACGATGTAAACAGAGTCATTCAGAGTAGTTTGGTGTGAAATGCTCTGTTCTAGAGAAACTTACAGAGTCAGAATTGTTCACAGTGGTGGTGAGAGGAACCAGACGTCCACCTCTAAAAGCTCCCTCACAGAAAGGTATTACATGAATTGTTATGATGGCGCTGCCTGATGCCTGAGACTTTGTTTTGGCGATAGTTTTGCTATGGTTTTGACCTAAAATGTATTGTAGTGTGTTCAAAAAATGTTTTGGCAATTTAGTTTTACGTTGTGTTCTCCAGCATTTGTTGCACTTGGTTCATTTTGCTACGGACTCTGATTGGAGAGGGCTGGGTTAGGAACCACCCCGGGGTGTGTGTGTGTATGGGTGTGTAGAGAGTGAGAGAAAGTAAGAGTTGAGAAGAGAACGAGTTGTTTGAAAGAGAAAAGCTTCGCTTGTGTCGGTGTGACTGTGGCAACAACAGCTGGAAAATAAATCACCACTACTTAGTGGTGAATGCAACAATATTCAGGATACTGTGAGGCAAAACAGTCCACAAAGAAAACTTATTATTTCAGATTTTATTATTATTTTCAGATTTTTTTGTTCCTGAACTTGAGTTTATACTTACATTTGTTAATATAAATAACCACAGTATTTAATAATAATAATTACACATTTTCATGGTTCTCCTGAGGTCAGAACACCTGACATGGTCAACTGAACAGTTCTAACCATGACTCAAAATCACATTTTTACTAAATTTGTGAAACGGCTACAGACCTTGGCATTGCACCATAAAGGACACTTGGGGTCTTCTTTATGATGCAATACCATGGCCATGCTTTCACAGAAGCATGTCAAAATAAAAGTCTTCTGTTTTCGGTTGTGCCACCTGACAATTGAGGAGGTAAGAACTTGCAGGAAAAAGTTTTTCAGTGAGTTGAGCACATTTAAAGTTGACTTATTTTGCAGGAGGTTTTTACTTTAAAGGAGAAAATCATGCCATACTATTTTATTTAAAGGCGCCACCCAACATTTTTAGACTACTGGAAGCAAAAAGAAACTAAGATAAATTTTCTATGGATGCAATGAAAGTTGTTTCACACAAAAGAGATATTGTTGAATAATTAGATTTGTCTAATAGGAAAATAATGGATTTAGACACAAAGTCATGTCACTGACTGATTCTAAAACATGGAAATCAGTAAAAAGTCCTCTCTATTAGCTGGCTTCCAAACTTCTGACTGCTACTGTACATCCAAACCCAAACACTTAATAAAATTCCCAAGTCATCTCCCCTGCTGCAGTTATATCACTCAGTGAGCTAATGATGAAAATTGAGATGCAAAAGTAATTGAATAATTCTGTATGACAGGCCACGCTCCTCCTTATCTTTCACGCCTCCTCCCTAACTCCCTCTCTCTCCTCCACCTCTCCCTCATTGCTGGGAGAGAAAGTAAGCCCCTCGCTCTTGCTCTAAGCCCCCCCAGGTTAAATAATTCTCTTTAATAAGGCCAGGCTTCTTTCCCCCGACATCATTTAGGAAACTAATTTAATTACATACAAAATTAAGCTAAAGCATCTGTACTGTTAATGGGGGCATGGAGGGGAGCTGAGTGTGTGCAGTGAGTAACTGCAAGAAAGCGAGGGAAAAAACAGCAACTTTAAATCTTTCTTTAAAACTTACATCGCCAGAGTTCTCTGACAGTTACAGTCACATACCACAAAAAGAAAAAAAGCCAGACTATGAAACCATTTATTAGACCAGATTTATGATATACTACATATATGCAAATTATGGAAGTTATAAGTATCATCCTCAGCTAGCAATGATGTTATGAACTGTATAATTCTGTAGTATTTAGCTAAGTTTGCTATTGGCCTAATAGATTTATAAAGAAAATAACAGATAGAGGCCCTTCAGTAGCCAGAATTGTGACTACAGCAATATTATTATTGTTATTATTATTATAATTTCCATCTTATACATATGGAGCGAGTGTTAAAGCATTATATTTGGTGAAAAAATCTCATTTATAACAACCCCAACCCACCCAAATCAGTCAAGACATGTTTGGTATCCAAAGATTGCTTTGTTTATTTTTCACTAGAGCTATGAGGCTAATGTAGCTACAAGTAATGGAAGCTTACTTGTTCCACATGTAAAGGATGCTAACTCTACCAGGCTATTATCTTGTAAACTGCATGCTAAATCATCACGTCAAGTTTGAACAATTTTAAATAGGCTTATCGAGGCTTAAGCTGTGCCATAACAAGCCAGATTGGATCCAGCACCTATTTTAGTGGATCTGCAACCTTGTTCACATGTTACATACATTCCTACTACAATCTGTAGAGATGCATGCAAGAATAATCTTAACTGACACATCATAAAATGTGGAAATGTTATAAGGTAGCAGGCCTCCTGTTTGGGATGACACTGACACTGTTTATCA